TTAATAAACTGGGCATTGAAAATGGAGGAGTACTTGGTGCCCAGGTAAAACGTGTGCCCCACCTCAATGCCTTTGGTTTCAGTCAGTGGTCCCTGGCAAGCAGGGCAGTTCATTTGAGACGAGCCTAGCGTCTCCACGTTGGCCGAGAAGCTGCAGCTGGTGCAGACAGCAAACCGGTCCTCTCCGATCTCCACTGGGAGCTGGAACTCGTGAGACATCGTGCCCCCGATGCTGCCCACGTCTGCCTGGACCTTGACACACCGCAGCCCCAGCCTGTCGAACAGGCTGCCGTAGGCATCACATACCAGGCTGTAGGTCTGCCGGGCGGCCTCTGGGGAGGAGTCGAAGGTGTACATGTCCTTCATGTAAAACTCTCGGCCACGGAGAAGACCAAAGCGGGGCCTGGGCTCATCCCGAAACTTCCTTGTCACCTGGTACAGCAGGAATGGGAGCTGCTTGTAGGACAGTGTCTTCTGGGAGGCGACCAGGGCTGTAATGGCTTCCTCATGAGTTGGTCCTAAGCAGTATTCCTTGCCATGTCTGTCTCTAAGTCTTAGCAGCTCCCTGCCCATCAAGTCCCACCGGTTGGAGGCTCGCCAGAGCTCTGCTGGGCTGAGGCTGGGCATGTTGACCTTCTGCCCGCCAATGGCCTGCATCTCCTGGTCAATCACCCGCACCAGCTTCTCCATGGCACGAACAGTATAAGGCAGGAGGTGGTAACAGCCGGAGCTTGCTGGGTGGATCAGGCCCACCTGCAGCATTAGCCGCTGGCTCTTACAGGTCAGGTCACCAGATCTGCCCTCCACTGGGAGCACCTGGTCTTCCCGAAGGTTCTGGGGCTGGAACATGCAGGACAGCGCCAAGCGCTTCCCTCTCCCTGGGGCACAGTGGGAAAACCTGCGGGGAATGTACCCAGAGAGCTGGTGGTTGCAGGTGGCCAGAGCAGGCAGTGCTCTGCATCTTGTCAGCAGCCCTTCCATGACACCCCGGCACAGGGAAGCACTTGTGCCTGGAGAAAAACGAGTGGTGCAGAAATAAGTGTTAACTGTCTGACTATGAAGTAGCCAGCTCAATTTGGCCCCAACAAACCTCGAAGACAGCCACTGATTCTGCAGATGCAAATCCTTTCATTTTGAATATCCTAGCATATCCAAGTATACTTCTCTTCCCTCTACTGCCATGTAAAAAATATATTTTCCCACTGACAGAAATACAATAGCGTACTGTGAAGAGACATGCACAGGTGGCAAATGCACAGGCTCTGACACCAGGCAGCCTGGATTCCAGAGGGCTTCCCGCCGACTTAACCCCTCTGTGCTCAGCTTCTTCATCTGTAAAATGGGAATAGGACCTACCTTAGAGGTTCATTGTGGGAATTTAGAAGAGTTATAAAAAGTTACTGGAACAGCTATTTAGCACATTGCTATTATTATAGAAAACTGGGGGTAAAAGAAACAAAAAGGAAAGCAACTATAATCCCTCGGCTCAGAGACAACTGCAGCTGATGATCCCTTTTCTGTCAGTCCTGTCCTTTGCCCACCCTCCTTAAATGTCTTGTTTTCCGCCCTCCTCACACACACACTCCCTGGTTAGGCCACATGCTAATGGCTCCAAGTCAACGTCTACACCCCCATCTGTGTCTCTCGAATTTCAGACCTACCTATCCAACTGCCTCCTGGAGAACACACTGCCTTCACACACTCAGCACCCCAGAAGGAACTCAGCACCTTCCCCCAAACCTGCCCCCCTCCAGTGCTGCCTATCACTCTGAATGGCACCAGAAGCCACCCTTTGCCCAAACCAGAAACCTGGGTTCATCCCCTCCATCCATGTCTCATATATACCACTCCCCTTGGCCCTGTCATTCCTACCTCTTCATGTGCTATTCCATCTATTCCTTCTCTTCACCTCCACAGCCTCCAGCCAGGTCTAGGCTACCATCATCTCACCTGGTTATTGCAACAGCCTCCTCTCTGGGCATCCAGCTTCCATCCCCTCCTTCTGCAATCCATTCTCCACCCTGCAGCCAGAGAATACTTCCAAAACACGTAATAGTTTCTCTTGCTTAACGTCCTCCAGCGGCTTCCTGCTACCCTTAGAATTGGGTCTAAGTTTCTGCCCTTCACAGTGCTCATGACCCCATGTGAGCCGGCTGCTGCTCCTCTGGCCTCATCTTACCATCTCCCTCTCCACATTCCAGCTCACCATGCTCACTTTTAAACACACTTTCCCCCTTGCATACCAATACTTACCATCCTCCAGGCCTCAGGATTAGCATCTAGTCCTCTAGGGTGCCTTCCTTGTCCCTCTCCCTATACCCCAAAGACCAGCTTCTCCCGCAGCAGCCCCTCACCCCCACCAAACACCAATCACTCTTTGGAGTTACTGCTCAATGCGCTACCTGTCTTCCCCCAGTTGCTCTGCTCTGTGCAGGCAGGGACCACATCTAACTCGCTCTTCATTAAGCAGGGGCTTACTAGACATTGTCTGATGAATGAGCACGTAGGGTTCTCTATGATTTTTACCAAATATTCACATACTTCTAATGAGAGTACAACATTTCATTCATTGACTATTAAGAATGATTCTCCGCCCTGGCTGGCTTGGCTCAGTGGATAGAGCGTCGGCCTGCGGAACAATGGGTCCTAGGTTCAATTCCGGCTGGGGGCACATGCCTGGGTTGTGGGCTCCATCCCCGGTGGGGGGTGTGCGGGAGGCAGCTGATCGATGATTCTCTCTCATCATTGATGTTTCTATCTCTTCTTCTCCCTTCCTCTCTGAAATCAATAAAGAGATATATATATATATATATATATATATATATATATATATATATATATAAAGAATGATTCTCCTACTACCAGTGAGTTGTTGGTCTTCTCCTTTATATATAATCTACAATGAACAGAAGGTTTTTGTTATATCTTTGGAAGAGAATTTTCAGGAATGAAATTACTGAGTAAAAGGATATAAACTTCCAAGGTTCTTGATTTCTATTGTCAAACTTAGTGAGCACCTCTGATTTCAGCATATGCCACGGAGCAAAGCTCCCCTGCAGTATGCCCAGGATGGGTTCCTGACCCCTCTTAGCACTGGGACGCTGGAATTCTCACGGGTTGCCTCCAGCTCTCGGCCTCAAGTCCTCCAGCTGGCCCCTCCAACCTCAGGCAGCTTCATCCACTTCCCCTGCACACTGTACAGATGTCATCATTTTCTATGTGGCCTATGACCTGACAAAGGTTGGGAGGCACTGCTACAGAGGCCTAGTGTGGCTGCATGGAGAAGTATGGGTCCTGAAGGCAGAAAGCATGTGCTTCACACCTGACTCCATCACTTGAGATTCCACCTCAGGCCAGCGGCCAAAGCCAGAAAGCCTTCACCCTTGGCTCCTCCCAAAGCAAGATTTCTCTTGAGTCCACCCCCTCCTTTCTGACCCTTACTGCCTCAGCCTTGAGTTAGCCCAGTGGTTCTCAACCTTCTGGCCCTTTAAATACAGTTCCTCATGTTGTGACCCAACCATAAAAATTATTCTTGTTGCTACTTCATAACTGTAATGTTGCTACTGTTATGAATCCTAATGTAAATATCTGATATGCAGGATGGTCTTAGGCGACCCCTGTCCGCCAAAGGGGTCGCGACCCACAGGTTGAGAACCGCTGATAGCCCCTCAATACCACCTGTTACATTACAATAGACCAGTGGTTCTGAAACTTTAGGGAGCATCAGAATCACCTGGGGGCTTGTTAAAACACTGACAGTGAGGCCTCCCACACACAGCTTCTGATTTCGTAGGTCTGGGGTTTAGGCAGAAAACCTGTGTTTCTAGGTGATGCTGATGCCGCTGGCCCAGGGACCACACTGGGAGAACTGCAGAAGCTTAACTGTGCACCCACTCTGATTTGGGCTGTGAACTCCATGTGGGCAATACCCATGTCCATTTTGTCCCAAGTTATAGTGCAACATCCAGCACGGTGCCAGGATACAGCGGACATTCAATAAACGTCTATCAATGAATGAACTGAACGATCCTTGATTCCTATCTGCCCAGTCTCCATATTTCAGATGTACTGATTCAATCACTCCTGTTTATAATCCATTAATCCCCCCACCATAATTTTCTCAGAACGGTACCAAAGCCTGAGGCAGACAAGGGAGTAAGTCCTGACCTCAATTTTCCACGGAGGAAACTGAGACCAGGAAACGAGTATTATCCAAAAGTTTATGTGATGTGACTCCGCCCCAACCCAAAGACAGGATATCCTGCACAAGGGAAGGCGGACACCAGGATGCCAGGTGTCCGCGCCCAGAGCCCTCTCTTCACGCCGCCGCCTCCCGCGGGCGCCTCAGTCCTCGCGGTCACCCACGCTCACCAATTGCAGTTCCAGCCAACCCCATCCGCCGGTCTAGCACACGGGAGCCTGGAGCAGGCTGGGGGGAGGGGGGGAGGGGAAGTTCCGCCTCCCTCCTTTCTAGCCAATCACAAGTCGAGTTCAGGGGACTAGCCCCACCCAACTTGTAGACAAGTGAGTGGTTTTCCGGAAGCTCAGCTAAGGAGAAATCACCGTCCCGGAAGTGCTCTCTAGGAGGTAAGGAGGTGTAACTCTATGGTCAAAGCCTTTTTCCAGGTTTTGAATCTGGTGTTTCCTCCCTTGCCAGGGCGCTCCCCATTCTCGGACTGGGAGAACCACGGGCAAAAGTGTAACTGCGGGCAAAATGTAACATTGTACAGGTAATCTATATACAATGGACTAGGTTGTTTCAAATCTACCTTATTATTTTACACGCTTTCCATTTAAATAAATTTAATTTTTTTAACAATTGGAAAAAGGCAGTCTTTAAGACACTAAATCAAACTTTCACTCATAAAATATTTTTTAAAATATATATTTATTGATTTGAGAGAAGAAGGGGGAGGGAGAGATAGAAACATCAATGATGAGAATCATTGATCAGCTGCCTTCTGCACCCCCCCTACTGGGGATCCAGCGGCAACCCAGGCATGTGCCCTTGACTGGAATCAAACCTGGGGGCCTTCAGTCTGCAGACGGAAGCTCTATCCACTGAGAAAACCAGCTAGGGCACTCAAACTATTTTTTTAGCAGCTACCATGTACCAGCCACTGTTGTAGAAACTGGGAATAGTGAACAAAAACAAAATTCCCTTCTCTAACCCTTCCCAATAGAGATAGTTGCTTCCTTTTCTGCGCTCCCACTGTACACAACTCTTCAGAGTACACCATACTGGAACAATTTTCAAACATGTATTCAATGTAGCTCACATTCTAGTCAATAAACAAATACAGTGAAACTTAAGGGAAGGCCAAAGAACAGTCATCAAGAGAAGTGGTATTTTAATGCAATTAATTTAAAAATGAATGCAAAAAGTCTATGGTGAACAACTTATCAAAATTTTATATGAAGACAGGATCCACCAGTCAGATGCTGTCAAATACTCTGGAGAAAAATTAATTAGAGAAGGGCACAGGTTGGAGGTTGAGTGGTTGCAATTTCAAATAGGGTGATCAAGAAAGCCTCATTGAGAAGGTCTCATTTTAGCAAAGACCTGAAGGAGATGAGAAAGCTTTGCAGAAATCTGGGGGAAGAATATTCCAGACAGTGTGCATAACAAGTGCAAACGTACTGAGGTGGGACTTGCATATCATCTAAGTAATATTACAGCAATAGTTTATTGAGTGCTTAAAATGTACCAGACCCGATGCAATACACCGGATTCTGATAGTGGCTCCGAGAACCTCTCAGCTCACCCAGGATCTGCCAGGAACAGCACAATGTCATCAGTGATGTAATGGGAGCTGATAAACCTCCCGTGGGAATGCCAGGAAGGAGGGCTTTGCCGAGGATCACCGTATGCACCCAGGCCCAACCCTGCGAGGCTGGGTATTGATCTGGGTGGGCCTGGGCATCAGTACTTTATAGTCCTTGGATCCTCGTGTGCAGCCAGGTCTGGATTTGCTGGCCTCGAGAAAAGGCACTAGACAACCGGGGTAGGAGGGTAGCAGAGATGGTGGAAGCATGTTGCCGTCTCAGTCTTACAACTGAGGAACTGCTATCTGTCCAACCGGTTGGAGGATGGACAGAGTTGGGCTAGACCTGAGCTCTTTTGAATTTAAGAGTGTGGCTCAGCCTCTGCAGCCTGCACTGTGGTCGAGGCTTTCCCCAACGAGTGCCGTCCCAAAGGCTTCACGGAGGCAATATTCCCCACACTTCCTCCTGGGAGGCAGGAGGTGAATAATCTTTGGTATATTTCGGGATCCAAAGTAGCCTAATAGTTCTCCCTGCTCCCCGCGCACATTATTACATCCCTTCCAATCCTGGAAAAGCCAGCATCCATCCTCTGCACCCTGAGGTGTTAATTATGTCTCAATTAGCAGTTCCCAGGCTATAGAGCTTAGTGGTATGGAGAGGCCTAATGACTTGCTGTGTTTATACACCCCACATCTTCAGAGCACTTTACCAGTGGTAACTAATTAATGCTCACGACCCCCTTGGGAGAACTGCTGCCTTTTATTTCAAGTTTTCAGGAGGCTTTCCAGCCTGGAGCTGCAGAGCCTGCTCAAGCCAGCCATGGTCAGAGTGAGTTTGTTCCCTACTGAGGAAGTCCAGGGTGGTGGAGTCCCAGAATGTAGCCCCATCACTGCTAGCAACTTCCTGTGTGACTTGTCAATCAATCAGTTGATCCGTCATTTATTGTGTGCCTTGATTTACAGAGTTCATTCATGGTTAAAACTCCACAAGTTCCCTAAAACAAAAAATAAAATAAAATCCCACAGAACAAATTATTCATTGTCATTTAAAAGAAAAGGAACCTACACTTGCCTTGGTTCCCTTCCCTTTCTCACCTCCCCCTGCCCAGCCCTGGGGACACATCAGGCACTTAATGGTTTCCCTTGGCCCCTGGCCAGACTGGGAGTCCCTGGAACAGGCACAGATTTTGCTCTTTTCTGTACCTTGAATACAGAGCCTGGTCCAGATGGAGGATTAGCAAAAGGTTTTGCTTTTTGTTTAATCAACAAATGAATGGATGGTATGTTTCTCCCTCAGATTAGAGCTCCTGTGAAGACACCCTGAGTCATTCCGGTATCCAGAGCCCATGCCTGCCACAGAGGGGCTCCGAGCGTGTGGTGAATGAACAAGGGAAGGCAGAGTTAATGGTGAACTCCCAGACCTCTGATTGCTCATAACCTCCTGGAGAGGCCGCCCCTCAAAATGGTAGTCCCAGCAGCCTGAGGTCAGAAGCTGTGAATAGGGGAAAGCAAGATGCTGAGGGAGCAGCATTGCAAGGATGCAGGTGGTGAGATCAAGGAGGGCTTCTTGGAGGAGGGGACATGAATTGGACCTTAACTAGGAGCTTCCCAGGCTGAAAAGGGCAGATAAAAAGACATTCTAGTCAGGGGGAGTAAGTCAAAACTGGATGTAAGTAAGAAGGCTTAAAGGTAGTTCTGGCTGACGCACAAGAGTGCTTGGATGTTGAGAAATCAGCACAGTGTGGCAGGGCCTGCTGGACGAGGCTGCAAGTTTCTCTTCATCTGAGGCCAGTGAAACCTTTTCTGTGAAGACTGATACTCCCCTCCCCACCAACACACACAGTAGTAAGAGGAGGTCACTGGGCAGTGTGAGAAGCAGGCCTGTGGGCAGTGGAAGGGTTTTACATGGGGGAAGGACATGGCCAACTGTGTTTCTTTGTCTGAGTGAGGCGTGAGTGTGAACTCAATTGGGAGGGAGGGGAGGGGGAGAGTCCTGATGGGAGACTCCTCCAGTGGCCCCGACTGGGGCAGTGTGCCCGAGAGGAGGGGACAGACTCCAGAGGGCCACTGGGACAGTCCATCTGATGGACTTCTGAGCCGAACCGCACCCAGTTAGCCCAGCCAGGCCAAGACAGACTGGACTGGAGGTGGGAGGGTGGCTTGAACTGGAATCCTGCCCAGCTACTTCCTGGCTATGTAACCTTGGGCCAGTGACTTCATCGTTTCTTCATAAGTAAGACAGAAACCATAATAACACCATATTGGGTGTTCCGAGGAGTCAATGAAAGATGTAATTGAAAGCAACTTGTCCATCCCTCAACCTGTTCTAATTCTGGGGCCCACTGTAAATGTCACCAGCAGAGGGGTTCTTGCCCTACCCCTCAGGATAGAAATCAAGAGAGTAGGTGAAACAGATTCAAAAGAGAAGAGGTTTACTAAAAACTGGGTGAGAGTAAAAAGGGAGAGAGATGCATCAAGGGAGTGCACAGTGACAGAGAGTGTGGCTCCCATACTGCGCTGGGGTCTGGCTTATAAAGCGCTGGGTTTCTTTGCGCAGGTGCAGAGTGTGTCTCTGTTTCCAGGTTTCCGAGGTGGGGGTGGGGGTTGGGTGGTGCTTGCATTGACTGGCTCAGGCGCAGATGCATGGGTTTGGGGAGTACCCGAAGGAAAAACTTAATCTTATCTAGAAGAAGCTCAAGAAGTAACTGAAGGACATTCCCATCCATCTAAGAGAGGCTCAGCCTGTCGCATAAGGAGAGAATTATCATTTTGCTGCCACCTCTAGTTCTAAAGGACTCCCCACTCTGCCTGTGTGTGGGACCCCAACCCCCTTCTGTCTTCAGGGACCTCCTCTCCTTGGGCCCATAGAGCACCACTTGTCCATTGGTTCAATGCCTAAGATTAAGTTGATTAGAGACCAGAAGGCGACTGGAAAGGTAGGCCGCTTTTTATTTTTTTTAATCCTTACCTGAGGATATGCTTATCGATTTTAATGAGAGAAAGGAGAGAGAGAGAGAGAGAGAGGAGAGAGAGAGAGAGAGAGAGAGAGAGAGAGAGAGAGAGAGAGAGATTGGTGCCTTCCCACTGGGGATCAAACCTGCAACTGAGGTATGTGTCCTGACCGGGAATCAAACCTGAGACCTTTAGGTGTACAGGACGATGCTCCAACCAACTGAGCCACACCGGCCAGGATGAGGTAGGCCTCTTCTTTTTTTTTTTTTTTTTTTTTAATCAAGATTCCTCAGAATTGAAGTGTGGCCACCAGTCATTGTTATCATCACTGTTCACATTTATAGAGCCCTTGCTATGTGCTAGGGACAATATTAAACACTTTATATCCATGTTTAATTAAATCCCTACAACAACCCCATGAGGTATAAATATCTCTCTTATGTCCATGTTACAGATGAGGCAACCAAGGCTTGGAAGGGTTGGCTCTAACATGTCTGTGGTCAACACCACTCGTAAAGGGGGGAGAAAAGATTCGTCTCCAAGTCTGTTTGCTGCACAGCCTGACCTCTGCACTCACAGCCTCCGATGGTAACTTATTTGTAGCAAACATGTGTTGACCCACAACCAAAACTGTGGGAGCCATCCTGAAAACAGTCTTTCTTGTTGGGTCCCCTCTGTCTGGAGGCCTGATCTTTAGAGCCCAGCTCACTGGCACCCTTTTTAAAAAATATATATTTTTATTGATTTCAGAGAGGAAAGGAGAGGGAGTGAGAGACAGAAACATCAATGATGAGAGAGAATCACCAACCGGCTGCCTTCTGCATGCCCCCCACTGGGAATCAAGCCTGCAACCCAGGCATGAGCCCTTGACCAGAATCGAACCTGGGACCCTTCAGTCCGAAGGCCGATGCTCTATCCACTGAGCCAAACCAGCCAGGGCAATGGCACCCGTTTTGGTCAGTCTTTCTTGAAGTCCTCACAAGCAAGGACTCCACTCTCCTCAGAATGTTGTCTGAGTATCTCAGTTGGCCCATTTGCTCTCTGAGGTGTGTGACAGCTGAGTGTGTACATTATGTGGGACAAACACACTTGAGTGAAAACACTTGTTTTGCCACCCACTCACCAGGTGCCTATGGACGAGATCCTCAGCCCCCTGAGGCTCAGATGCCACATCTGTAAAGCAGTAGTGACATCTCCCCCAGGGAGCTGTGGTGAAGATGCAAAGAGTGGCCCATGTAAAGGGCTCAGCACGGTGCCTGGCACACAATAGGCCCTGTAGGACACACCCCTGCAGACTGTGAGCTCTCAGAGGGGAGGGCCCATCGCTAGCCCTGCCAGAATAAATCTGTTTCCTATGTAAAAAAGATTTTGCATATAGTAAATCTCAAGGCCTATTTGCTGAATTAATGGCTCTCTACTTAATTCCCTCAGTTCTTAAGAATGATCTGCTAAAAATGAAACCAAACAAAACCTCAGTAAAAAGAAACAAAACAAGAACCTCAGTAACAGTTCATCTGGAGACAGCTCCCTTTCGAGCAGCTGCTCTGGGTTAGCTCTGCGGAGCACTGGGCACGGCCAGACGTCGTCACTGATCACCAGAGGGAATGATCCAATGTGAGTTCTGGGTGTGACTTCCGCAGCTTATCTGGGCACTGTGTCCGGAAGGATGATGGAAACTGAGTTCCTTTCAACACGACTTTGCCTTTTCTCTTTGGTGCAGAATTCGGGTGAGATCTGGATGGAATGAGGTGTCATTCGTTGCCGTCCAGAGCTGTTGGTTCAGAGAGAGGAATACGGCGTTTGGGACCAGACAGACCTGGGTTTGCTTTCCGGCTCCAACGCTTACTGGCTGAGTGACTTGGGGCAAGGACTTGACCTTTCTGGTCTTTGGCTATACTACCGTGAGGTCAGGAACCCCATTGAAACGCTGTGAAGAGCAAGCAAACAACATTAGAAAAAGACTTTATAAACGGAAATTTCTGTATGAATATTAGAAATATACTCAGATTATTCTTTTGTAAGATGAAGTGTGTAATGAGATGAAGACTTTTAAGTAATTAAGTGAGATTATGTATGTAAAGCACTCGAAGGGCGCCTGGTACTTAGTGCTCATTATGAGATTAACTTGTTAATGCTCCAGTATGGCTCTCACATCTGCCATTCCTCTACCTGCTGTCTCGCTGCAATGTCACCTTCACAGCCAGGACTTCCTGGCCCCAAATTTTTCACATCAATGCCCACTCCTAACTGCCCTTTGCCCTTAGCATTCCTGATACTCCCTACCTGCTTTATTTTTCTTCATGGCATTTATCACCGTTTAATATACTAAATATCTTACCTAGTTTTGCGTTTATTGGTGTTACCTCTCCCCCAACCCAAGTAGAATGCAAGCTTCATCCAGAAGGGTGGGATTTGTGTTTGTTTTGTTCACTGCAGCACGCCCAGTGCCCAGACTAAGGGCCAGATAGTTAATATCTTACGCTTTGCAGGACGCCCAGTGCCTAGACTAAGGGCCAGATAGTTAATATCTTACTCTTTGCAGGATGCCCAGTGCCCAGACCAAGGGCCAGATAGTTAATATCTTACGCTTTGCAGGACATACAGTCACTGTCACAACTACTCAACTCTGTTGTTAAAGCCTGAAAGCAGCCATAGAAGTATGTCAACAAATGTGCATGACCGTGTTCTAATAAAACTTTATTTACAAGAACAGGTGGCGGGCTGAATTTGGCCTGTGGGTCACACTTTGCCAACCCCTGGCTTAGATCATTGTCTGCCACATTGTAAATGCTAAGTAGATATTTGTTGAATAAGTTAATCAGTGACTAACTGGATGAATGAGCACAAGATACCTGGTACAGTGCCTGGTGCACAGCTTGTACTCAATAAATGCATATTCCTTTCTATTTTATACTTGTCAAAGGAACTAAAAAAGAGGGATTATTAGAAATAAATGATAAAGACTTATTCTAGGATCTTATAATTTGTAAACTATGCACACAGCTAGGCAGAAACCTAGAAATGTTCTGAAGAAGAAAGAAAAGAGCCCTTGTAGTAAAAAGTACATTCTTGAGAATTATCTGTCCTGCATTTTTAGCCCTAAGATTGGTCCATGATGGTTATCAGTCAGATGCCAGGGGTCTGGATAATTGATATCAGGTGGACTGGCTATGTGAGTCCTTCGGGGAGTAACCGGAGGTTTACCTTGAGGTCTGGTGTATGTCCAGATGTGTATCCAGGCATCGACACAGGATTGGAAAGTCCCAAGCTAATTAGGACAAGAATAGGATAGCTTCTCATGCACTAACCTTCATAATGTTAACAATTTTAGCAGCCTGGCTAAGCGACTCAATTTTATGTATTTCCTATATTCACCCTTTCCTCATACTTGATAAATACAACAAGATAGACCATGATGTATTGTATTCGAGGTAGAGAGAAAGTGCCCAGGGAGTACTGAGGTGGGGGACTCCTCCTCTTTGGGTAAAGGAGGACTCCAAGGGGGTCTCAAACTGGGCTCCCCTAGAAGCAGACCCTGAATCAAGGATTCTAAGGCAAGCAGTTTATTTGGGAGGAGATCCCAGGAAACATCAATAGAGGAGTGGGGAAATGAGAGAGGGAAGGGCCGAGAATAAATGCAGGGTGTGATAATGAACAAGCAGGTTACTGCTGTGGACAACCGGCCTGGATCCCAGTGGGACCTCAGGGGGAATGTGGAATTTGCCTCAGGATGGTCCTACCTCCCCCCCAATCCTCCTGTGAGACTGGGCTATTCTCCAGTGTCCATCCCCCACTAGTTGAAGGCTGCTCCCGGGGCATCAGCTTCCCATCAGGTGGACAGCGGCCGGTGCTTGCAGTTGGATGCCTTCAGCAGGCACCTGGTAGATGAGGGGGGTGGGCAATGGGCAGGCGCTAAAGCAGTACTTGAGCTGCCTCACAGGATAAACTGCCACCTTGTTTAAGTTACTGTGTTCAGGTCTGTGATGACGGCTAAGCCTAATCCTAATTGGGGCAGCTGCTAATAGCTGTTTCGGCCAACAGAGCATTTTCTGTCCCTGCACCAGTTGGAAGACTCTCTGGGAAGGTCGCTGATTCACCCAGCCTGGGTCAGATGTCAGCTGTTGGGGTCTGGGTGTGGGGTATGGTGGCTGGCAGCCCTCCCCTTCTATGCAGAGTGGGGAAGCGGCAATTCCTAGCCCAGGAAGAAGAGGTGCGCGGTTCCCAGCAGGAGGGGCTCTGGGCAGATGAGACCATAGATCTCCCGCATACATATCGAGGTGCTTTTGTTTGTTTCTCTTACTTTGTGGACAACAAATACACTCACAGTGGAGCTGCAGTTTAATGAAACCATTTACATGCCAAAACTGAACAAGCCCCCCCACCGAGCTGTTGCTGGGTTTGGAAACATAAACATGAGAAATACAGGCAGATTTTTTTAAAGTGTTCAGTTTATACAGCAATGTATGTGACAGAAGAGAAAGTAATCTAAGCTCCCAGTAGTTAAGAGGCCACCCATTAGCATTCTTTCTCCTGCCTGCCATTCAAGGCGGGTGGAGAGACCTCGGGCAGGTCACTGAACCTCTCCCAGCCTCAGCTTCCTCATCTGTAGCACAGAGATAACGCTGAATGCATAGCCTATGGGCTTACGAGGTAAAGCGTGTGACTGGCTCACGGCAGCTTCTCATTAATTGTCTGATGGTGATGACGATGGAGATGATTTCCTTTGTCCTCCCTGTGGGAAACTTCCCTGCTCGGTCAAATCGTTCTTTTGTGGCCACCTAGAGGCCAGCTGAGGCTTCCCGCAGCGCCACAGTTTTCTCTCACCACTGCTTGCCAAGGGCATCCCTTTCCCCATCACAATCAGAGAGGTCGCCTTCCAAGCAGAGCTGGGCGGCCGGAAAGGTGCTCCCGGCGGGTAGAATAGGATGAGGCTGTCTGTGGGGAGGAGCTGGGGGCCTGGGCGGGAGCTGGCCGCGTCCTAATCCCCTCCACTCGCCTGGCCAGGACTTCAGCCCCACAGAGCCAGGGAGCGTTTCTCATGGAGGCATGCCCGCCATGGGGGGGTCGCTTTCCATCTGCTCATTTCACTTCTGAGCTGTAAAGTGCTAAATGTCGTTATCTTCCCCTTCCTTAAACAAGAAAAAAAGTTAACAGCCTGAGAAAAGGAGATATTTCACTTTATTTGGTATCCGGCCACCATCGTCCACATGGGGCGCTGCTCCCTTGGGGCCGATTAGGGCTGGGAGAGCCCTGTTCTGTTCTGCTTTCAGCGGCTGGCACCGCTGTGTGCAGGCTCCAGGCTGGGTGGACACCGGCAGCTGGAAGTCAGGTCAGAGCTGGGCAGGCCGTCGGCAGAGCAGCCAGCCACCTTCTGAACAACCCAAACCCTGCAACAGGTGCCACAACAGAGAGAGAGAATGGGGCCAGACAGAACTTGTTCAGGTCACCATGCTTATTAGGGTCTGTTCTGTGTGGCCTCAGAAGCTGAACTTGAATCAGAAGATAGAAAGTACAGAAAAGAGGATTTCAACTAATAGAAGGACAAACTCAATAGACAGACCCATTGAAAAATGGATTGGTTCCTTCAGGAGGTAGTGAGCTGCCTGTCTGCCAGAGGTATGCACGTGGTTTAGACCCTCCTTTCAGAACAATCACTGCTGAGAGGAATCCTGCTTTATTTTTAAAAAATATATTTTGATTGATTCCAGAGAGGAAGGGAGAGTGAGAGAGAAACATCAGTGATGACAGGGAATCATTGATCAGCTGCCTCCTGCACGCCCCACCTGAGGATTGAGCTTGTAACCCTGGCACGTGCCCTGACCGGGAATGGAACAGTGACCTCCTGGTTTATAGGTCAACACTCAACCACTGAGCCACACCTGCCGGCAAGGAGTCCTGCTTTAGATGGAGAAGCTGGAAGAGGCGATGACTAAGGTTCTTTCCAACTCTGAGATTCTGGAGACCTGCAACTGAAAAGTCTCACCTGCGTTCCTTCACCACGCCTTGCTCACACTGGCTAAACAGGAGTGTCGAGCTGCCTGCGGTCTGTGCGAGACGCAGCGGAAGGAGTGGGCAGGCGCACGAAGCGTGATTTATCTTCATTACTCCCATCATGGGGTCATTAAGGCTTTTACCCTGCAGTGCTCCCCTAAGGAGCTCCTGCTGCTTCAGTTGTGTGACACAGTTGTTCCCCCGGCTGCCCAGTGGGCAGGGGTGTTTGCAAGGCTCAAAATTGTAATTAAATAAAGATCAGCCACCCACTAGCCTCCCCCAACCAGCCAGAGTCACAGTCCTGGGGGCGCAAGGTCTGGCTTCAGCAGTGGCTTGCTGGAGAGGGGTGGCCAAGAACCAGGTACTGAGGCCCAGGGACAGCCATACTCTCCTCCCCACTGGGCTGGGGAGAGGCCACTAATACAGGGTGCGTATGACTGGTGTGGAGGGGGAGGGTAGCCAGCTGTGCCAGCTAAAATCTTCCACAGCTTCCTGTTAGTCTCCACAAGTCTCCACTGCAGCCCACAAGGCCATGCATAACCTGCTGTGCAGGTCTGGCCTGTGAGCTCCCTGAAGGTAAGGGCAGGTCTGTTTTGTTCTCCAATGGAGCCCAGAGCTTGGCACTATGCTGGACACTCGATGAGTGCTTGGTATGTGCTAGTTGAGTGAAAGAATGGAAGGCCTGTTGTCCTCTTAGACTTGGTAGACGTAAACTGGGCAAAGGAGGCAGCCCGGAAAGGGCAGAGAACACTGGCCCACAAGTCTGGAAGTGGGGCTCAAATCTGAATCTGTCATCGGTTCATGGCTTGACCTTGGTCAAGTCCCTGCTTTCTTTTCTTTGTTTCCCAGTGGCAGAACTGGGTAACTGGCTAAGGCTGGAGAGGAAGAGGAAAGAAAGCCCATGCTTTCTGGTTGAATTCTGGGCCACAAAGGTCCTTGGGCTGCAGACCTGGTCCCAGCCTCAGCCCTGGGGACCCGGTGAGGCAGTTACATCACTGCTGTGAGTTTACTCAGTCCAACCACTCAGACCCAGCCTGTCTCGTGTGCCAAGCTCAGCGCAGGGCCCCGGGGCTGGATCAGTTATAGTTCCTGCTGTAAAGAATCCAGAGTTGGGGCAGGGTGGACAACAGGCATAGTGACACAGTTACGGCCCAAGAAGGAATAAACGCCACGCAGTGGGACACAGTGCCCCGAGAGCTCGCCATGCATAAAACGGAGTGATTAATGAGAGCTGGGAGGATTTGGTAAGACTGCTGGAGGTGGCATCTTTGAGCCGAGAACTTGGGATAGAAATCACAGGAAAAAAGCCAGTGGAGGAAGAAGATGTCCAAGGTCACAGAGGAAAAGCAGTTTGGGAAGAAGGTATGGGGCAAAGGGACAGAGTTGGTGACCACAGACCCAGCTCTAGACATAGATGACACATCTCCCAGGAAGAACTATGTTCTAGGAGGCAGCACAGAACGGGGCAGGTCTGGTCCAAATTCTGGCTCTTCTTATACTTACCTGAGACCTTGGTCAGCATCTGTGTCCTCATCTGTAAAATGAGGATTAGAATGCTACTCCCCCGGGCTGTTGAGAGAATTACATGTATGAAGTGCCTAGCCCTGGAAATGGGGTTTCCGATCTCTTTTTGGCTTTTGGTCAATATGCAGATACCCCAAGAGAAGCTACACTAGTCATTCATATGACTGGTGTGAGATTATCAGAAAGAAAGTTTATTGAAAAAGTTTGAGAGGAGGAGGCGGCAAGGGGGGAGAAATGCATTACTTTGGGGACAGGAACAGCAGGGAAGGAAACAAACAGGGAGGCCTGGGGAAGCAAACTGCACCAACTTCCCAACTGTGCCAGCAGACTACCTCGGATTCAGTCCGACTGTTTGAGGAAGCAGGAGAAGAAAGAGATGGTTTCCATCAGGGGTGGAGAAGGGACGGGGGAGGAGTGGACAGGGCTGCACCTCCATCTGCCACTGGAGACACGAGGAGCAATGTAGGGGCTGGCCTATCCCTGGTTAATATCTGGGGATCAGAGATATGAGGGAAGCAGTGAGTATACTTTTTAGCAGGGGTGGGGAACCTTTTTTTCAGTCACGGGACATTTAGATGTTTATAACGTCATCCACAGGCCATATAAAATTATCAACTTAAAAATTAGCCTGCTCTACTTGGCCCATCATTGATTAACTCACCCCTAATGCCTTGGCAGGGCCAGGCTGAATGATGTTTGCGGGCCTTACATGGCCCCCGAGCCAGACGTCCCCCACCCCTGCTTTAAAGAAAGGAACAAATGCAAAACAAGTCACAAACCATTATGGGGTCTTGCCATGGCAGTTGTGTAAACTAGCCTTCCTGGCGTCTGGCAAGAACTTAATCTGGGATTTTAGGGTAAGCAGTTCTTGCAGGTAGGTCCACAAAAATCCAGGTCAGCCATCCTAAGATTTGGGGGCCATCAGAGTCTGTCTTCGACAACAAAATCCCACATCTAAGATTCTATGTCTACGATTCCAAGAGTATAAAACTCTTTTTTTTTAGTATGATCCTAGTTATTAATAATTATATGCATACATATATAAACAAACAGATTTCTTGTAGTATTAGCAAGAAATGCTAATAATTTATGGATAGTGGAAATTTGGATAGTGTTTACTTTTTTTCCCCTGTAGTATTTTATTCTTTTTATTTTTTTATTTTTTATTGTTTTATTGCTTAAAGTATTACAAAGGGTATTACATATGTGTCCTTTTTCCCCCCCGCCCTTGACAATCCCCTGGCCTCCCCTACCCCCCAGTGCCTTATGTCCATTGGTTATGCTTATATGCATGCATACAAGTCCTTCGGTTGGTCTCTTGAGTATAAAATTCTAAGACACTCTTCCTTCTCTTGCTGAAGGTTCAAGATCAGGGCACGTGGCATTTCCTGATGGGTGGGTCCCGGGGTTCTCAGAACAAGAAGTCAAGCAAAGGTGCTGTTGATGGGCTTTATTCCTTGTCTGGGAGCCTTGCAGCCCACCCTGTGCAAGGATGAGGCCTGCGGAAGACTGCTAGCCAGGTAGGAAGACTGCTAGCCAGGTAGGGAGACTGCTAGCCAGGAAGGGAGAGCCCCGAGCACCCAGGGCTGACCTCGGCCCTGCCCCTTTCCTGTTCACGGTGCAGCTCTGCGCTCTGCTCCAGCCGCGGCTTTTCCGGCTGCAGGACCCCTGACACCCACTCCACAGCTTGAGTAAGGGCTTCATTATAAGGACAGAGTGTCGCTCACGGGACAAAGACTGGCACTAAGGCCTCGGGGATTGTCCCGCGAACTGGAAACCCGACATAACGAGACAGTCATCTCCTGTATCTCTTAGGAGACTCGCAGCCCTCTTATTTTCTCGGCGCATTTGCCCAATTCTGCCCTTCCGTTGGCGGTCTCCTGGACCAGGTCCTTCTACCTCCATGAGCACAAACTGCCCTGCAGTCTCCAAGTCCCACTCCAGCTCCCGAAAGAGAATCTGATGGGCCCTGTGCAAGCAGGGCCCAGATTTGGCCCGATGGGCTGTGGGCAGGGCCTCCAGGGCGGGGCCTCAGATCGAGAAGGCGCGGCGGCCCCGAGGCGCCCGGGCGCCCTCCATGGTTTCGAAGAGCAGCCGCACCAGCGCGGGTCGCCCCTGGCTCACCAGGGCCCGCGCCAGCCCCAGCACCTCGCCCGTGTGCCCGCGCCACACGCGCTGCAGCTCCTGCCGCAGGCGCGCCGCCGGGTACTTGTCCTGGGCGCGGCGCAGCCACGCGTCCACCTCGCGGCCCAGCTCGCCGTCGCTCAGCTGCGCCTGGCTCCACTGCGCCAGCAGCGCCTCCAGCAGGCAGCCGAAGCCCTCGGGGTGGCTGCAGCCCGCGTCGTCCAGCTCCACCACGCGCTTGAAGCAGGCCGCCGCGTTGGCCTCCTCGCCCTTGATGCGGAGGCACTTGCCCCGCAGCAGCTGCAGCTCGGGCAGTGTGGCGCCCAGCTCCAACTCGCCCGCCTTGGCCAGGAAGACCAGCGCCTGGTTCAGCGCCGCCTCATCCACCGCCAGCAGCTCCTGCATCGCGTCCACGCCCATGTAGTAGTAGACCTGGGGTGGGGTGGCCGGGGTGAGCCATTCAAACCCCCACCCCACCCCCACTCGCCCTGGCTGCTCCCCGCTTCCACACTTATTCACCGCAAATTTTGGTCCCCCTTCCCTGGAAAAGGAGAGGCAGTATTCTGATTCCAGTCCCCACCCTACCACTCTTGGCCACATAACCTTGAGCAAGGCAACGTGTGGGCCTAGTTTTCTCATGTCTAAAACATGATCTTGTCACCATTTGGTAATCATTCCCTGGGCACACTTCCTGAGTGCTCGGAAAGAATCAGGCCTGTTCTCAACGATGTACGTGCATTTAATCCTCCCCCGAAGGAGGCGGGTACTGTTATCAGGTAGGGCGATGTCCCCTACGACTCCCTGTGTCCTAAGATCCCAGGCCTGGCCTGGCAGAAAGTAAATAGGTCCTGAGTAAGCCATTGGCTGTGCAGCAAGCCAAGAGCTGCCTTACCTGGCCGATGTCCAGGTAGGTCTTGAGGCCTGGGCATACCTTGACCACTTCCTCGAGGTCGGCCTTGGCGCAGGCCAGGTGGTTCCTGTCAGGCATGCCTCCGAGCCCCATCTTGACCCGCTCCAGGTCGTGAAGGTAGGCTGTGATGTGGACCTGCCCAGAGAGTCCGCTCAGGGAAGATGCTCCAAGCAAGGCCCCTCTGCCCTCCTTTCTACCCTAAATGAAGCCGGCCTTCTCAGCAGCGACTCAGGGAGGTGTGTGGTGGAGCAGAAAGCCCCTGAGGTGGGGCCCAGGAGTTCTAGGTTTCAATGCTGTGCCAACCTGGGCTAGCCACTCCCCCTTCTGAGCCTTAGTTTCCCTGTCTGTTCAATGATGAAGTAAAAGCCCTTCATTCATTCACTCATTCATTCAACATATATGTATTGAGTGCCCACCATATGCCAGGCCCTGTGTTAGGTAGTGGGGTGCAATGGTGATAAGACAGATGAGGCCCCTGCTCTGGTAGAACTTAACATTCTAGTAGGAAGATGATCACGAAGAAGTAAACAGCACCATTTCGAGTGATAAGTGCTAAACATCTAAGCACGGTGATGGGATTGAGGTCCCTGGGGAGAGCTCTGATTGACCACCTCAGGCTGCCCCTGATCTACCCTACAGCCTTTCCCAAGCACCTCCCCTGCTCCAGGCATGGTGCACTGGATGGTACCCACTTAGTCTTCCTACCACCGGGCCTGGAGTGATGAGTGGAGATTCCAACCCAGGACGGCCTGACTACACTGGGCACCAATCTAGAAGAGGCTGCAGGCCATTGACCACGTAGGTTATTGTGGAACGGATGCTGCAGTGGGTGGGAGGGTCCTTTATTCTTTCACTCAACAGCTGTCCAGAACCTAAACTGTGTGCCTCGTGACTCCTAAGCTCCTTCCTACCAGGAAGGCTTCATTATCTTTGCGCTCTGGCAACAGGGTCTTGGCCCGGGGCCCCTGTTGTCTGATTCCCGAGGTAGGAGGAGGTGGAGTCAATGGGTGACTCACCTTGGCCCGCGTGCAGTACGCCTGCCAGTTGAGCTCCGGATCGCGTAGGATATCCAGGGACATGTTGCAGGTGCCAATGGCCATATCCTGCTTTCCCAGGAAGTAGAAGATTTTGGCCAGGCGATTCAGGACCGGGGGTTGGTCCTTGGCAATCTCGATGGCCTGGGGAAAGGGAGGAGGGTAAGAGCACACAATTTGTCTGTTGGCCTGCAAGAACTAGCTAAATAGTGCCTGACCTTCAGGAACCCCAACTCTGGACAGAGCCCCGTCATCGCATTGCTTATTCCCCATAGCCACCTGCTGGGAAGCGCAGTCTTCTCATGGAGCCCAACACTTGGGGTACAGCTCATTGCCACTTAGCTCTCGAGAGCTCGACTCACTGCCATGCTCTCTGCCATGCTCAGGGGTCATGTCCAGTGAACCTCTCCAGACCCCAAGCAAACCTCTTCTCCTCAAGACACATCCAGTGTGCTCCTCCCCATTTCTCAGGGCAGGTGGGCGGAGGGGCCAGCACCAGCCTCGACCTCCCTGTACCCAGCGCAGTGTTTCTAGCTCGGCCACAGCACTCAGCCCCTGTTGTTACTGATGGCTGCTGTGCACGTTCTCTGCTGCCCCTGAGAGGGTGAGTTCCTGCGGGGCCGGGGCCCTGCTGGGCATCTCTTTGCCCCAGCGCAGAGTAGGTGCTCAAGGAGGGGTGAAGGCCGTGTTTTTGTTACATTGGACATAACTCTCAGAACACTCGTGAGCCAGTGCGAATGCTCTGTCCTAAGATCTCTCATCACAAAATTGCTCACCACCCACCGGCAAGCAACAGGGATGCGCCCTTGCAGGGCACGGTGCTGCGAGCACAGGCCAGTGATATCGCAGGGCCGGCCTCCAGGGAAGACTTCAAAACTGAGCTGAGTGTAGAAACTGCCACATACACAAGGTGCCAAGAATACGGCTTGAACAACACTTGACAGGTCATAATGAACAGTTTTGTCTGCTAACTCCTTTGAGTTTCTCAATCATCTAGAAGGCAGACGGACCACACAGGTAACAGATAAGGAGGCTCGGAGATGGAAGTGACTTGCCTTAGGGTCACCCGGCCTGTGGGCACAGCTGGCACTAGACCCTGGCTAAACGCATCCGCTTTCCACTAGGCCACTGCAGGTGGGAGGGACGTGAACCAAGGCCCAAGGGGAAAAGCCTGAGGGTGTATCTGGGAAATGGTGACGAGCATAGAAGACAAAGCTGGACACGGGCTTGGGCCAGACCAAGTGTGGGCAGGGCCTGATTCTTTTTCTTTTTTTTTTTTAATATATTTTATTGACTTTTTACAGAGAGGAAGGGAGAGGAATAGAGAGTTAGAAACATTGATGAGAGAGAAACATCGATGAGCTGCCCTCTGCACACCCCCCACTGGGGATGTGCCCGCAACCAAGGTACATGCCCCTGACCGGAATCGAACCTGGGACCCCTGAGTCCGCAGGCCCATGCTCTATCCACTGAGCCAAACTGGTTAGGGCCAGGGCCTGATTCTTCGGCAAAGAGGCTCGATGACAAGGGAGCACTTCTGTTTTGTTTGGGACGGAGAGAAAGGCCTGGAGTGAGGGCACTTCCTGGGTGGGCACACAGTGGGGGGGGGGGGGGAGGGAGGGGGGAGACACCCAGAGAAGCAGAGGGTTCCAGAAGAGGAGGATGGGTGGTAGGGGGTCCCAGGTTGGAGAGGGGGCGTGGCTGGGGCACATACCTTGCCGAAGCAGTCCAGGGGGTCGGTCCCTGAGTACCCGCAGTCGTGGACGCCCATGGGGGTGGTGGAGAAGGTGTGCTTTCTCTCCAGCAGCATCCCGAGGTAGCACCAGGCCAGGGCTGGGGGGAGGGGGAGAGGGGTCTCTAGGAGGCAGCAGGGAGGAGAGAGGGAGAGGAGCCACGAGGGGGGAGGGGACCAGCTGCACCCAGGTGTCGGCTCCCAGGAAGACAAAGGGGTCAGAGGCATGAAATCCCGGAGGGCCACTCAGGGTCCCACTGAGAGAAACAGGTGGGGAGAGGGGACGCGTGAGTGAATGGATGAACGCACGGTGGTGCTAACCCATGTTTACTGCATCCCTCAGGGGACCTCTGAGGGTGCACAGCCTCTCCGGCTGCAGCTCAGTTCTGCCCCTGTTCTAGCCGCGTGGCCCTGTGAACAACGCCTGCACTGCTCTCCAGCACAGCCTCGTCCCCAGCCAGGACGTGGGCTGAGAGGCTGAGCGACGCCTCTGAACAGGTCCGAGAGGCACCTGAACACGTGCGGTTGTAGTCCTTGTGATTGGTGTGCTCACCTGTGCAAGGTGAGTGAGCTCTCGAGATGAACAAGTGAATATATGAGACAGAGGGTGAGGGAGAGAAACAGGGTCCAAAAAGGGGAGGCAGTTCTGGGGGGGGGGGGGGCAATGACAGACAGGCTGCTCTCCACCATCCCCGCGCCCTACCTCGGTGCTGGGGGTCCGAGGACTTGAGGACTTGGCGGAGCAGGGCCAGTGTGCGGTTGAAGGCGGGCAGCCTCTTCTGCTCCTCTCTGCCCAGCTCCAGGAAGATGCCATCTAGCCTGTGGCCGAGGAAAGGATGCAGCTGGTTGGTACCCCCTCCAGGCTGTCCCCCAGGTGCTGTAAGTCCTCCCTTTCCCAGGCCACTGGCAGGGAGGGGGGCTTGGGGAGCCCTTGCCATGGAGATGGGCTCAGCCACTTCTCCCCTGGGCTCCAGGCCACGCCTCCCACCAATCCTGTGCCCCCTTCCCAGCCTGACCTGATGAAAAGCGTTGCCATGGTGAAGTACCAGCCCCTTTTCTCCTCCATGGGGACCTGGGGAAGCAGAGAATGGCCGGTGCTGCTGTTATCAAAGTACTCAGGCTACTGTTCATAGATTCCCACATTTTCCCTGAACCCCGAGAAGCAGCCAGTAGTACAAGGGCTTTGGCCTTAAACATTCTTGATCTAGTCCGGGCTCTGCCATGGACTGGCCGGGTGACCTTGGGCAAGTCACTTCCCGTCTCTGGCCACAGAGGATTTGACGAGATGACCTGTGTGAATGCCCTGCATGAGGAGCCCAGCACAGAGGCCGTGCAGGATACATTCCCTCCCCTCCTGGCATGCTCTCCAAGCTGAGCTCCCCTCCCTGGCTCCCCACCTGTGCTCTGCATACCCCCACCCAGGGGCCCACACAACACTGGTCACCTCTCCCCGCCGTCCACCCGCTCTTCCCCTTGACACCCCCCTCGGCTCCCACCTTCCTGAGAAAGCCATGCTGAGTGAGCTCAGCTGAGGCCCAGGACCCCCCTGAACCATCTCCCATCGTTATTCTTGCCAACCTTGCCGTGCATTTAGACCGACTTGGGCACCAGATAAAATATTTATGCTGTTATTTATGGGAGTAGCTGTTCCTGCCTCGGGAAGGAATTTTAATGAAAACCAATAAAACCCCCAGTGCATATCAGCAGCTCTGCTCAGGCTCCAGCCCCTCCCGCTGCATTCATCTCCTGTCGATGAGCTCCAGGCTCCTTTCTGCACTCCCCCCCACCACACTGCGGCTTCCTCAGCTCAGACTCCATCATCCCTCCCCCCCGCACCCCACTCCGACTCCTAGCAGCTGGGGTGAATGCATTCAGTGCAGCCAGCATTTCTGGGCATCTGTGGTGTGAGGCCCAGTGTTGGGTGCGGTGGGGATGTGGAACTGAAGGGAGCCGCACCCTCGCCCAGATGGGCTTGCAGCCTGGCCGGAAACAGACCCAGGCGTAAATAACAGGGCTTGACTGAGTGCCTGCCACGTGCCAGGATCCGGGTACCGATGACCTCAATCTCACAACACCTGGGTGTCATCCCATTTTACAGAGGAACACATGAAGGCTCAGAGGGGTGAAGTGCCTTGCTCACGTTCACACAGCATGCGGATGTCAAAGCTGGGATTTGAACCCCTTTGTTAGTCTCCAAAGCTCATGCTTCCCTCACCACAAGGCAGAGTTTGATCAAGGCCCTGAGAGGGATGCAGGCAAATATAGCAGGACGGAGACAAAGTCTAGCAGAGGATGGGCTGTGGGTGGGTTTTGAATGGCAGTGGTATTTCAGAGGGTGGGGCGGGGGACAAGGGCACTGATGGTGGGCTCAGCATGGAGCTGTGTGGGCAGACTGGTGAGCTGGGGTGTGGCCTGTGAGGTGCGGTGTGGGGAGCTAAACTCGCAAGTTACGTTGCAGCTGCTCCGGGGAGGCCATGGATGAGCTTGGAGGGAGGAAGAGAGGAAGGGAACCTGTGAGTCAGATCCCAGTGAGTGAACCAAGATCGACTACCACGAGGAGGCCCCACTAATTGCATCTCTCAGCGGCTCCTCCCCGGGTATCTTCCTGTATGGCCCAGGCTGGGCCCTGGGGATAGGAGAGGAGAGAGGCAGGTCCTGCCTTTAGGAGTTCCTGGTCTGGCAGGAAAGTCAGAACCACAGACCCAGAGTAAAGGAACACCAGGGGTATGGGAGGAGGTACCCTACTAGGCCCAGGGGTACCCCCAGGCTTCCAGAGGAGGGCGAGCCAGAGCAGGGTTCCCAAGGACAAGTAGGAACCAACCCAGTGGGTATGATGTGAGGAGGCATTCGAGATGGAGGGGACAGTGTGTGCAAAAGCTGAGATGAGTGAGCACGGTGTGTCGGGGGCTGCATGCAGCCCCAGGGGGCTGGAAGGGGGAAGAGGGGGCGGGGTGAGCCAGCAGGGCTACCCCAGGAGGAGCCTCTGCATGCCAGGCTTAGGACCTGGAGCTCATCCACAGGGCAGCATGGAGCCATGGAAGGGGTTAGAGCCGGGGAGTGCCAAGATTCAACGTGTTTTTACATTCACCTGGGAGAGGAATCCTGTTCTGTATGAGGGAGTGTGTGTAGGGGGCTTTAGCTGGAACAGGGCTGTCCGGAGGGGAGAGAAGCAGGTCTCAAGTGTTAAGGGGCATCCTTGAGAGCTCAGGGGGGAACACTGGCCAAAGCCACAGTGGAGGTCAGCTGCTGGGTAGCCTTCCCTGCTGCACCTACACAGGACCTGGGATGTGGGACGGGAACTCAGACTCATGGGACAACACTGTGGGCCAAGCTGGCTGAAGACCTGGACTTCGGATCTGGTCCTGACCGTGGAAAGACTGAAGGCATGTGTGCCTCAAGCTCCCTGGCTGCTGGTAGGTATGATCTCATGACCTCTGACCCCAGGCCCACTCCGAGGTTGGCCAAACTGAGTCATGGTAGGTAGAGACAGAACCTGCTCCCCCTCTCAGGCTCCTTATGAGGAGGTGTGGCCACAAGCGAGAGCAGGGGGAGTAGACGTGGGGGCTGGTGACCGGTGGCTGGCACTGGGCTGGTGAGTTACACCTCGGGCTGTGTCCTTATCTGCAAAGGAGGATGCTAATACCAGCCTCACAGGTATGTGAAGCAGCACCCAGCCTGGAGTACTTGCTCCGTTAATGTGTGCTCCCGTTCTCCTGGTTTGGGTTAACGCTGAATGGAGTTAGGGGCGTCTAGGAGGCCACGCTGCCCACTGTGGCCTATTTCAGTTCCCCACGGGGCAATGAGGCCCCAGGCCCTGGAATCGCTCTCCAACCACTCTCCACTCCCTGCTGTGCTCGTAGGCCTCAGATCCCGAGGGTCCCAGGCACCGTTCTCGCCTCCACAGGTCCCCAGTGTGGGAGAGTAATGTGGTGTCCTCAGGGCTCTCCCTGGCTCATAGCCATTCTCTTGCTTGGTATTCAGGTTGCAACAAATTATGTCACATAGTACATGACAGAGCTGGGAGTTACACTCATGCCTTCATAGTCCTAGCTCAAGCCTTGTCCACAATCCTCAGTTATTTTGACCAACCTCCTTATTATATCTCTGAGGACACTGAGACCACAGAGGTGAAGCAACTTACCAAAAGTCACACAGAAGTTAGTGTCAGGGGTTAAAAATCCAGTGGTTTCACCACCACTCTGAAATGCTCGAGTAATTCAAGAGCTTGGTTATGGTTTGAACTAAGCAAACAATACTACCACCTGGTGGCAGAATGCTCGAATTGCAGGGACAACTCCGTTTCCTCGCCTTCGCCTTGGCAGCCGCTCTCAACCTGTGGGTCGCGGCCCCTTTGGAGGTGGAACGACCCTTTCACAGGGGTCGCCTAAGACCATCGGAAAACACAGATATAATTACATATTGTTTTTGTGATTAATCACTGTGCTTTAATTATGTTCAATTTGTAACAATGAAAACACATCCTGCATATCAGATATTTACATGACGGTTCATAACAGTAGCAAAATTACAGTTATGAAGAAGCAGCGAAAATATTTTTATGGTTGGGGGTCACCACAACATGAGGAACTGTGTTAAAGGGTCGCGGCATGAGGAAGGTGAGAACCACTGGACTAGAAGACTGAAACTGATTTTCAGAAAAGTAGCTAGATGAGTGACATCTGTATGACATCACAAACACAGTCCCTTTTTAGACTCCCGCTTAAGAGTTACACCTGCAGGAGGGCTTATGGGTGGTAAATACGGAATGGAGCTCATTGTTTAAATGGATCTGATCTGAAACCTTGTTGTGCCTGAGGTGTGATCTTCCAGCTCCGTGATGAAGCTATTCTCTCTGCTGTGCAATTCTGGCCCTGAAATGGGCTGTCTCTTTAAGAATTCTTCTGGTTGTAACTGAAGCAGCAGCTGAAGCTGTTACCAGGGGCAACCTGGCAAGCCATCGTGCGTTAAATTAAATTAAACAGGCCTCTGACTGCTCCCCCCTCCTGGAGGAGGGAAGGGCTGTTTCACCTCTCTCCCGGAGAATAAAGTTGCTGTGAAACCTCTTACGCTGCAAGGAATTCACTTCCAGAGTTGATGGCTCCCAGAGGCAAGATGTTTGCAGGCAGCCTGGGCGGGGGTGGGGGGTGGGGGGCTGCAAAGACCTCTGCCAGAAGGGCGTTTACTGAGGGCCTGCCTGGCGTGGGATCTGGGCAGGGCAGCTCACCCTTTCTCCTGTTACATCCTTATCACGAGCTTCTGGGGCTTCTGGGGCCTATAAGAGGGGGCTGGCCAGTGTGTGAGTCAGCCCAGGCTTCAAGCTGGAGGGCTCTCAGATGTGGCTGCTCCTCGGGGCAGAGCTGTGGGAGGGGACTGGGCAAGGTGCAGGTGCCAGCCCTGAACCTGACTTGAAATCCTTAGACCCTGGTCCTAACTGAAGGTGGGAGTGAGGACTAGGCCTCGGAGAGGGGTTCTCAGGACATCCCCCAGCTTCTCTGAGTATTTAAATAACCTGGTGCTCAGGCCAGGTCTCTCGGACATCAAGTGAATGTTTTCCCAGAGCACCCAGCTGCAAGTGTTCATGCAATGCTTATCGTCTAAGAAGTGCACGCGCACAGATGCCCCTCGATTCTCAGCACATCCTGTGTGGAATGTAAGCTGGGTTATCACTACCCTCTTAGCACAGATGTCCTTAAAGTCACACGGCCAGTATGAAAGCCTGGACCGAAACCTAGGAGTGGGGCTTTTCTTGCCATGCTGATCACAGCAAGTTTTATGGAGCACTTGCTAAGCACCAGGCACACGGTTTGCCTGTGTTAACGCTTCCCGCCCTCTCCACACTCACCTATGAGGTAGAGACTTATTATCCTGATTTTTTATAGATGAAGCAGCTGTGGCACAGAGTGGCCCAGCTAGAAGGTAGCAGAGCTGGGAACTCGGCAGCTTAGCCCCAGAGTCCCTGCACCCAACTACCCTAGACGAGTGGTTCTCAAACTGTGATCCCGGGACCCACAGCATCAGCATCACCTGGGAATTGATAGAAGTGCAGATTCCTGACTCACGAAATCAGAGACT